CCAAGGCCACGTGGGCCGACATGCCCCTGTGCCGCCCCGAGACCGACGTCGTGCGGTGGGAGACCAACGTCGAGGACGAAGCCGGCGTTCCCTTCACCCTCCAAGCGCGCTACCCCGACGACCCCGAGGCCCAAAGCAACAGCGGAGAGTTTGTGGCCAAGAAGCAGTCGGGCGAGCCGCTGCTCCTGACGCTCGGCGATCTGCTGGAACACCTGCCGAGCCAGTGGGAGAGATGGATCGATTGGGAGGACTTCATGACGGGCATCCTCTTCGCTCCCGTGGCCGTGAGCGATGAGGAGCACAACGAGGCAGATGGCCAGAACTAAAATGACTGAGGGAGAGGAGGAGCACGTCTTCTCGATGCTTTGTATTGAGAAAGAGTTTTGGAACTGAGAAACGGGGCATCATTTCCGACTTGTCCGCCCAAACTTGGTATACGGACATCATGCTAGGTAGGATTTTTTGTTGCACTGCATCATGGTGGGAGAGGCCGAACAGGATAATAGGTGCCAAATGATTACTTGGGGATTTGTATTTGTGTTTTGCTATGTGTCTTTCTACCTCCGGTCTTCGATCCAAGGATGAATTCACAGCTTTGCTAGCTAGCTTAGCTCATATGATAAAAAGAAAAAAAAGCGCTCACGCTTTCCACGCTGCAACCAGGTTGCCATCACAACCCACTTGCAGCCGGGGAGCCGCGCACAAAAAAAATACACAATATGTTTTTGGACATTTGTCTTCCCGAAAAGCTCCCAGAATCCGACTTCTTGATTGCAATCCCACATGGAACAGCAAATCCGCCATCTCCCACTTGTACTCTTCCCAGCGAAGATAGCATCCTAGCGTTCGCCCACATAGCGGGGTAAAGCTACGGGACAAAAAACGCGAAATCTGTTGGGAAATTGCCATTTCGCCTGATTTGCTAGCCGACGCGTTCCTAGCCATGCAGTGTAACCACGCTGTCTCGCGACTGCGCGTAAACGAGCTAGGGATGAAGGAATACGAAAAAATATTGCCTTTCAGAAGAACGTCATACAGCTCCTCTTAGCAAAACGTCGCCGTCGTGACAACAATCAATCAGCATTCGTGCGAAATCCTCACCACTTCTTAATGTGTCAACGTTTTTCAATCCACCGTTTCGTTGCAACAGCCTCCGAAAGAACATTTGCGTGCGAAGACATGCGAGGAGATACCATTCATAGATGGCGGTGGCTCAACACTGTTTAGGGCGTCCATTAGCAAAAGAGTAAACCTGGTCTGCATTTTGCCTAGCTTCAGGATCGCAAAATAGCGCCAAGAAGGGATTCCCCGCCAAAGAATATCGGAGCTTGAGATCATCTTGAAAGGGACCCTACGAGGCAGCATAAAAGTGCTCCCACAATGCTGCCTTGCTAAGAAACAAGAAACGGAACCAGAATTCGCTGAGCGCAAGTGGTCCCCGGAGAGGGACAATCGACATGCAGCAGTTGACCATGGAATGTGGAAAGCGGTAGACGATCATAGCATAGAGAAAACAATTCAAGGAAAAATATCAATTTGAGGACTAGTACTATGCTCTAAAAAAAAAAGTAACAGTAAGCAATAAAATCATCGTTACATATTGGGTATATCCGCAATAGATGGAAAGATTTCGCAGCAAAACAAAAAACACGTGCAGCAAAACCAAAAAAAATTTGCAGCAACATCATCTTGGTATGAGCCAGATAATCTGCACCTCTCCGAGGTCACCACAGCCTCAGCCCTTACTCGTGGCTCTCGTAACTCTTCATGGAAACGGTCCTCGTGATGTTAGGAGCTCCCTCTTCAGGTGCTGGTGCCGCATATGTGTGCGTCTCAAGAGCTCCGTGCACCTGATCGCGTGGGGTTGAACGGTCTCGGTCATGGAAAAGTCTATCGATGATGTTTCTCGCCGAGGGTCGTTGATCCGGATCGACAGCTACCATATCTTTGAGGGGATGGAAATTAGGGTCTTCCGCTGCCTCGTGTGCCGCTTTGATGCACAACTCACGCGTTTCAAATCGCTTCTTCCGGAATCCATTCGCATTCATTGCGTACGCTAAGGTGCAGAAGAGGGACCAAATATCTGCTTTTGCTGTCTGGTGCGTCTTTAAATAGAACTCGGGTGCCATGAACTTTAGGGTTCCAGCGAACGTCTTCGCTTCATTAATGGAATTGCAAAGGCCAAAGTCCGTAAGTCGAAAGGTGTGTTGGCCAGCTGATTGATAGAGGATATTCTCCGGCTTGATATCCCTATGGATGATATTTTGGGACTCAAGGTAATCGAGCGCTTGGAGCATATCATATAGAAGTCTGTCCGCCAATTCCTTATGTTCTATGAACAGATTTTGTGTAATTAGATCTTCAATATTGCCCTCTTGGAGCTCTGTAAAGATCTCAAGATGTTTTGTGCCTTTACCCTGGGCGGATATAAACTTTACGATGTTCGGATGAGACATGCGCTCGAGCGCCTCTACTTCACGCTGCATCATGGCATACTGATGCGAGTGGACGCCCTGTTCACTAACAGGAGGCCACTCAATCAACTTAAGCGCGTAGAATGTGCCGAAGTCCATATCGACGGCTTTCCAGACCTCCCCATAAGTACCCTTGGCAAGCCGGCATTTCTTGTAATACCGAATATCCTCTTTTGGCCCTTTGACGCCGAGGGTGTGAGCAATATGGGTCTGTGTAGTTTGTTCGGAAGGGAAATCTGTTGGTATCTCAAAATCAATGGTTCGGGCGAAGTGAGGATCATCTCCTCGATACGGGATATGCTCGTGAAAATCCGGTCGATCGTGCCAATATATTCGGAATTGGAAAAGGTCGCAACTAGCACCGCCAAATCCAAAGAGGAGATTTTCAGTCTGAGCCACCACAACTCGGCGATGGGGACGCCATAGCTGAATTGGCGTAGCGCTGGCCCCATAGGTTTGAGTCGACCCAGAGCTAGATCGATCGTAGAGAAATATTTCCTCGGTCTCCTCATGGATCTCGAAAGAAAACTGAACTTTGGAGATGGATGGATCTTTGATAGTGATGTCGCCGTTGCGTCCGGCGGTCGCAAGGGTATAGCGTGACTGTATCGATATTTGAAAGCCAATGTTAAGCCCCCGCATTTCTTCTCTTTGATTAGGGTGATCTCCCACTATAGGAATAAGGGAAACAAGATGACTGTTCTCCGGAAGATCGACGATGCTCTCGGCGGTTTTCTTGTTCAAGGGTATAAGCGAAAAGATAGCATGAGGGTGGGGCTGTGGACGAGGTGGAACACGAGACATTGTTGAGTTGAGGTTGACACAACTTTTACAAATGCAGGAAAAGGTGTTCTTGTCCGGGGTCTTTATAGCATGAGTTTCACTTCGACGTCTTACAAACAACATCTTTCAACAATGTTTGTGTAAGGAGTGAAGTGCATGATCCCGTGATATTATAATCACGTGAAATAATGATCACGTGATAGTGCACCGCCAAGATCGCAACACCCCCAAAACGCAGGGGAGAACAGAGGACAGAGGACAGATTTCAATCTTATCACTACTTGAGGAATGCTCGCTGCTATGATTAATCCTAACGGTTCCAAAGACAAAGTCTTACAACCAAGAAGCCGAAGCGCGTCATTTCCGAGGGGTGGGGAGTTTTGGCAGCTCAGGCCCTTTGTATGCTGCTTTAGAGGTGGCTTTCGCGGTTTCTGATTTGAATTTATCTTCACGCGATACCGTATGCACCTACTGATGGTCCTGCATATTGTGATACAACAGCTGAGTCTTGTTCGCAGGCATGATCGGGACGCTTTCCGGTGGTGCAACTACATCCGTTGTTCCTAGAATGTCATCCCAGAGAGCCTTTAGGTCTTCAGATTCGCAAAGGAATCTCCTGACTGAATGAGGTGTATTTCCGTTCTTATCACGTATAGTGATACGTTCCAGGTCGAATTCTGCTGTTCGCTTGTCCAGGCAAGCCTTTGTAGCGATTGCCTTATTCTTGATCTGGACTGCCTTCGGAATGCCAACGACCTCACCATTCGTGGTGAGGGTACCCGAGAGGCTGGCATGAACAGGCAATATTCGAAGCTGTCGATCTTCCACATCTAATAAAGGCTTGTCGGGGCCCCATGGCTTCTTTCATTTGGTCCATTCAATCTGAAGACTGAGGAAGTCCGTACAAATTGCGGACAGAGCTATCCGGCGACTTTCGAAATTTCACATAGCATCAAAACCGTATCGCTGGAGGAGTTCCACCTTCGCAAGTGGCATTCTAGCTAGCGGTTCAAGAGCCTCAACGCAGGCAATTAATGAACAGTCTTTGGGTTGTCTCTCTAGAGCGCTGTCCTTGATCAGATATACGATTCTCTTGGAAGATAGCGCTGGGAATAGTTGGCTCAATTTGGCATCGAAATTTTCAGCCAGACTTGTCGCTCGGTTGTGGTGTGTGCCGCGCTTCCTGGGGTCTTCGCGGGAAGTGGTTCCCACATAGCGCGGAGTTCCAATAACGTTGTTCGCAATACCCCAGATGGGGAAGCTCAAGTTTGAGAACATAGAGTATGAATATCCGCCCGCCTGGATGAGCTTCTTCTGTCGTAATAGGCTGGCAATGGTCGGAGAGGCGATTCCGCTGGTCTTAGGCGACGGCGACTACGTGCTCTAGCTGCTGCTGCCATAGTACAGCTCGTTTCGTTGTCTCTTCGATGTTCTCATACAAAATGTAGCATGCGTCGTCACTACTGCTGTGATAGAATAACGCGAAAAGTCCCACCATACAAGGTTAGGTCTGGTTGTAGAGTGAATTCTAATGTAGATGTTTCGGTTAGCATTTTCAGATTCTAGGCCGGCAGGTATACATCTTGCCCCACTCTGACTAATCGCTAGATTGTGCCGAGGCTTCCCGCCCTACTTCGGCCCGCCGCCGAGTTTTCCCGGCCTCTTAGGTTCCTTTGGGCCTGTGGATTTACTATATCTAGAGGATATAAATTTACAGCTTCGAAAAATTGCATCGATTCCTTGGACAAGATGGCCGAGTGGTTATGGCGTGTGACTCAAGCGTAAGCTTGCCTCATTAGAGGCCGCATTCTCATGGGCTTTGCCCGCGGGGGTTCGAATCCCCCTCTTGTCATTATTTTTCTTTGTTTTTTCTTTTGATTAAAAACCCGGCGCGCGCCCGCGAAGTCGGCGTCCTAGAAAACTGTTCCGGTTGCTGGCATCGAATTGCCGGCGTCAATGACCTTCCATCCGCCTTAGGCGCTGCGGCTGTGCGTTGTTGCCGCGTCATTTTTTTTTTGGCCTGACCTCTATCAATCTATTGCGGTTATGACAATGATCATTGTTCACGTGTCAGATGCGCCAAGCAGCGAGGTTTCAGTGCAGTGCAAAACAACCTTCTCAAGTACTTAATACTCCTTTTTAATCCATGTTTTGCCCTGCTCGTGGACCGGGGAAGTTCTTTGACCGCGCAGCCACAAGGCGAGATGCTCCCCGCCCCACGTGACTAGCGCGCACAGCCCACCACCAGCTATGTCCGTCACCACGCCCAATTCATATTGCACTGACCACCTCACGACTGCCTCAAGTAATGCCCCCAAGAATTTTTCTTCATTGCTATCGCGTCTGTGCCGCCGTTTGGGCCTCCCCAGGTTTACTGTGGTTCTCCTTCGGGACTAGTCCAAGACCGCTCGTACTAGTCGGAAAGAGACTAGGCTCGCACGTTGCAAGCATGTGGCTGTCACGAAAAACACAACGTGAGCAACTCCGTGGGACCGACCGCCCGACGAGCGACCCTACCTTCCCTCCACGCGCTGGGGGCGATGCTCTTTGAAATGGCCATCATGAGCCAATACCGCGCCCCTACCTCGTCTGGCTTGAGACTTTCACGGCAAGCTCACCCTCACCATACCTAGCGACCGACTACGCCTACTCGCGCTCAACGAAAGCGGCATGCGCAGCCTCTCCGGGCCGACGATCCTCAGGGAACATTGAATGATGGTCAAAGGGAACGCGCCGCTGACGCCGTGCGACTCCTCTGACGTGACCAGCGGGACGAGCACAAGCGTGTGAGCGGTCGCAATCAAGATACAGGAAGGATGTGCTGTTCCTACAGGCTCATCACCATTACGCTCGGCTAGCTACATCAACGCGTACCTGTCGCTCTAGGAGCGCGTCTTCTTGAAGAAGCGACATTACATGGCGGTCAAAGGCAACACTCACAACACTCAACGGCGCTCCGGATTCAGACGAGCCGCAAGGAAAAGATGAATTAAAGACCGCATGTAAAGTGTACGTAGGAAGATTATCTCTGCGAAGTGCGAGCTAACTGCAACAGCTTCATATACGCGAGGAGCAAAGACACAAACGAGACGGTCTGTCTGACAAGCGACCGGATGCCTTACGGCAACAGCGACCTGCCCAACAGCGTGAAGATATGGAGGAGGGTTGCTAGGCAACGTTGGCGGCATCATCCTTCGAACCTATCGCCATCGGGCGCTATAAAGAGGAGTCCGTGAATGGAACGATGGGGTTGGAACGATGGGGTGGGGCGACGGCGGGGCGAAGTGAGCGAACAATCCGATGTTGGGTCTGCGCCACAGGCGTAGCTAGTGTGGCCCAGGATCACTCTAGGGCGCTAAATACAAAGAGGATTCTGTGGACAGGGCGATGGGACGGGGCGACGGAAGCGAACAATCTAGTGTGGGAATCATGGCATCAGGCGCAGCTAGTGTGGCCCAGAACCATTCTAGGGCAAGCCTAGGCGCCTAGCTTTGATCGACACAGGCATGCCGTCGCTCACATCATTCAAGACAGCATATTCTACATTGGCGAGGCGCTGGTAGCCATCATGACGGAGGTGGAGCGGGCTGCGGAGAAGTTCTGATCCAAGACACGGTTGCTTGAGCCATATATGTTAGCAGGGTGTACTTAAACGTATGTCACACCGTTGTACGAGTTTAGATTTAGTTGGAGCTACACCACCTTCGAGATGTCATCTTCGCTCGAATTCAATGTCATAGAGAATCTCAGCGCGTCACCGGATGCCCGTAGTGACTTGACTGGCTGCCTTCAGGGGCTTACTAGCGAGCGTAAAACCATGCTCGCATGGGTGATTCGCCACGGAAGCCTCAATATGCTGAACCTCATTGTCTCAAAAGCCGACGTCAAGACTAGGGATCGTGTGAGCGTAACACTCGCACTAGGTCTAGCTACCAGGATGCGGAACATTCCAGCCGCCAATATCTTACTCAGCCATGGCACGCGCTGTGATTTCGAAGACGCAGGCATTCCCGTTCCCGCCGACCTCGACGACCCGGATGGTGACACATTTCAAGATCCTTCCGATCCAAGAGACTTTACACCAGCGCTCGTGAGTGCAGTGTTGAACCGTGATGTCGACATTGCTCGGATGCTGCTCGCCCACAGAGCGAACCCAAACCTTGGCTACCATGGCGTTCGCTCTGGAATGCACGGCCTAATCGCCTTCTCTTGCGGAAGGATCGTCCAATTAGCGATGGAACTGCGGTTATTCGGAATGGTGCAATTGCTGCTTGAGTTCGGTGTAGATATAGGGCTTGCGGCGCCGGTTTGGGAGGTGCAAGGGCATGATTGTAGAGTTGCTCCGAGGGCGGTGTATCAAAGAGTGATGGCGGCGCTGCGGAAAATCAGGTCGAAAAGTCTGGAAGAGTGAAGGAACTGCCCCAGTGGAGTCATACAGAATACTAAGTAGTTCAAGCCAGGGTCAGAGATAAAACCCCAATTGCAGTGAGACCGAGCTTTCCAAACCCTATAATCTTCGTTGGGCTAGGTCCAACTGCTCTGGATGTTAGAAAGACGGGTGGATCTGGAGCGAAGGTAGGTAGAATTTGCATCGAATCAAAATATTATTATCTAAACTGATGATAGTGAGCAACGCCCTACGCTAAATGGACGCGAATCTACGATCGCCTACCTCCTGCTCCGAATCTCCGGCTGGTAATCCTCATGCGTACTACTATTCCAGTAGGTCATCTTAAACTCCTCCGTCTCCTCTTCCGTATACACCGGCATCGCGGGTGCGTTAGCCTTCTTACCAAGACCGCAGATACCGCCTTTATCACAAGAAATCTTTGGTCCACCCGCAGACACGATCGCACGCTCAACGCACCCTGCCTTGATCAAAAAACGGAAGATTGAAGTACACATATGCAGCGTCAGACGAATCCGCATTATGCCAGTCCCACCCATTTAGCGCACCGCACCCGTTTTCATTCTATGGAGGTCATCCTCCTTGATTAATTGGATGCCGTAGACCTCGAAGAGATAGAAGAAACCATCGTCGCAGAAGGTGCATTTTGCGGCAGGCGATGGGGGCGGAGGAGGGGCGGAGGAGGGGCGAAGGAGTAGGCGTCGGTGCTGGCGGCGGTGTAGAGCTTGGAGGCGGATACATGGACGAGTAGAATGATGACACGGCGGCTGGGTCCGCAAGACCTGATGACCAAGTGTCGTCGAACATTTCGTCGGATAGCACGGTCCCTGTGGCTGTGGCTGATGAGCCAGACGACGACGACTTGGAGTGATCCGGATCATTTGGGTCTCCCGGAGAGCCACCGCCACTACCGCCAGGGCCACTGCCGGGGAAGACACGGGGAGGACACCACGGACACTGTGGGTCACAAAATAGCACGCAAGGCTTGCCGCAGCCTTTGCAGCCAGGTTCGCTGCTTGGTCCAGGCGGCTTGCCGGATGTCCATTCTGGCGGTGATGGGCCGGGATTGATGATGAGGTCTGTTGATGTGGGAACAGTGGTTGGGTGCGGATCCGGTATGACAGTTATCATTTTTGAAGGGAGGACAATGCCGCCTTGTCGAACATCCGTGTGTATGTGTTTCTGTAGGCTCATGGTAGGTAATGGAACCCCAAATGATGATGCCGCCCGAACTGGTGGTGGTCTCTGATGCGACAATGATGGAAGTTGTCCCGCTGACAGTTGGGGTTATTGTGATTGTGAATAGCGGGGGCTGAACGGAACTGGTTAGGATGATATCGCCGGTGGTCTGACCTGACTTAGGGATGATTATGGGCCAGACATCGATGACAGTAGTAGTCACTGGACAGATTGCGATGTCAGTATGGTGTCGTATGTCTAAGGAGTGAAGTGCGTGATTCTGTGATAGTATGATTACGTGATAGTTACCTGCCAAGATCGCTGCGCAGGCGCTAGGTAGGAGCGCGCTAGCGCGACACCCCTAAAACGCAGGGGAAGACAAGGATAGATTTCAATCTCATCACTACTCGAGGAATGCTCGCTGCTATAATCAATCCTAACAATTGTAGCGGGTCATGGGCCGCTGGCTCCACGCTATTGAAGAGGATTCGGGTAAAGGATCACAAGTGGAAGTAAATAAGATAGTTGAGAGACTGGGAACACGAAAATTTGAAAAGCAAGATTGAAAAACAATAATAATCGAAACACAAGAACAGTGAAAAACAAGAACAGTGAAACACAAGAACAGTGAAAAACAAGAACAGTGAAAAACAAGAACAGTGAAAAACAAGAACAGTGAAAAACAAGAACAGTGAAAAACAAGAACAGTGAAAAACAAGAACAGTGAAAAACAAGAACAGTGAAAAACAAGAACGGTCGAACAACAAGGTCAGTCGAACAACAAGGTCAGTCGAACAACAAGGTCAGTCGAACAACAAGGTCAGTCGAACAACAAGGTCAGTCGAACAGCCCTGTCGTACAACCCACCTGTCTGTCAGTCAGTCTGTTGTGAGAGCGGTGCGTCCCCCACTTTTCTGCTTGCCCTACTACTCCTCCACTTGTTGCTCGGACCAATAGTTAGGGCCTTTTCTCTGCACCTCCAACCTACCAGCGCGTTCATCCTCGTCTTCCATGTCCTCGTGCAGCCAGGTCATTCCAGGCATTTCTCCCCAATTAGCATTCCAAACTCCGTCTTCCATCCAATGGCGCTTGGTGTTTTCATAGGCAATAGCGTCGATGTCTGCATTGTCAATGGATCCTGTCATGAGAAGCTCGTCCTTAACCCACTCACGCTCCTTAGATACTTGGTAGGAGAATTGATGATAGGGACGAGATGCTTCAAAATCCCGTGGTGGCAGTGGTTTTTCTGGAGCTTTCGGTGCAGG